TTTGGAAGAGAGGAAAAGCCGCAAAACGCTACCGGTCCCTTCGAAGCCCTGTTGACAAATGAAAAGCGAAAACAAGCAACAGCTAAAAAAGCCTTCCGATCCTTTCGCAGAGACAACATCATCCGCCACATGAAAGATCAACACAAGACTAAATATGAAGAGTTCATTTCACTACCAAAAGGAAGTCGTTTGTGTCTTAGTTTTTTCGATCTTCCTACAATGATGGATTCTTTTCTTGGTGGCACTTACAGCTGCCATCTCGAAATCCACAATGGTAATTAGTTGTATTTAGAAGCAAGTCCGCCAGCTGAGAGAAACGTACGAATTCGACCCGACCTTCAAGGACATCGTCGATAGGTCGTGCAATAGAGATGTAGTCCAGGCGTGGAAGCTTGTGGATGCAAAAGGCGAGTATACTCACTTAGTTTCGTTTGCACTGGGACTGGCCTCAATTCCACCCGGCACTCATACCGTTGAAGGTGACTTTAGCTCACTTAAAGGGGTCAAAAGCGCCCACCGTGGGTCGTTGTCTAACTACGCGCTAGAAGGTCAGCTACAAGCAAAGCAGTACTTTGAGTTGATTCCTCTTGCAAACTCCGTTGCAGCTAGATCCCTCATAGAAAAGTGATCCCCACAGCATCTAAGCATTCCATGCATTTAACCACTGATCCAATACTGAAACCAATATTGAATATAATCCTATATCGACTAGCGAAGTAGGCATGAAAAATCCTAGAGTAAGAACGGATAGGATTTTAGGCTGTGCTGCCTAGATAGAAGAGGCCTGCCCATGCGGATCCTGTTGGCACAATCCCGCAAGATCCATGTTTCGTTGGTGGGTCTGCCACCTCTCTTTGTTCTGAAGTCAACACGCAAGCTCAATACCAAGATATCGCCCTGAAGGGCGTCCTGTATGCCCTGAGAGTGTTTACTTCGTAATACGAGAAGACCTGAGACGGGCGAAAGGTGGATACAAATTTAGTGAGTGCAGATACTGCAGAGTTGCCTACGACAACGACGCCACCAACATAGCTTCAGCTAAAATTGTTGCCAGACCTGAAGCCCTTTCTCGATTTTACGTCCGCGCAGCCGCTGCCGGCGTCGCCTTTTTCAGCAACCTCAACTCCTACTCAGGACCAGCCAGTTACATCTCTACCAGGCGAGTAGTCTACAGGCGAGTAGCCTATTTTTGGTCTAATAAAATCTCAGAGCACAGCTGCTGCTCATTCTGGGCATCATACTTCGCGTGAGCCCCAAGGCCAGCACACTTTATTGCTGGAAGAGCACCCTCCGCGACTTACTAAAAGCGCTCTCCACGGGGTACAAAGCGTGCTTTCCAAGACGTTCTAAACAAACTCTCCATTGGCCAGTACAAAACATATCCCAGCCAAAAAGAAGCAGAAACGTCAGCTCTCAAGAAATGAAATCTAGCAACCCGTTGAAATGCATACGGATAATCGGCTTCCAGATTGAAGAATCAGTTTTACTTGTCCTGGAGATATTAGGTTCTGATGTCGTAGCTATGCTGCTTTCACGTCGTATTATGGACGGTCGCCTGCTGAGGGAGCACGTCCAGTGCTACCTCAAGAAGGCCATTGACGCTTTGGGGGCTATGCAGGTGAATACGGGTGACGGTGTTAATCTTTCCTCTGATGTGTGGATGAATATTGCGAAAGAACATCTTCTGGAGTTCAGGTGATCCATATGGCGCTGCACTAACATATGTGTGGTGGAGTGGGATTCGCAAAATCGCGTTGCGATCCACTCAGACACACAGTGCCCTGGACTGCCG